TACCTATGCAGGGACTTTTCAGGATCTCTCTTTCATCTGAACCCTGGAGATCTGGGACCCATGGCTCTTCATCTTGTTCCAGCGGGGAGACCACATTAGGTTTGGAAACGGGAAGCCCTGCTCAGATGAAAGAAAACAAAGGATACCAGGTAAATCTATACGACTTTATCATAAAAAATTCTATTAACTCAAACCAAATCTACCTATGCAGGGACTTTTCAGGATCTCTCTTTCATCTGAACCCTGGAGATCTGGGACCCATGGCTCTTCATCTTGTTCCAGCGGGGAGACCACATTAGGTTTGGAAACGGGAAGCCCTGCTCAGATGAAAGAAAACAAAGGATACCAGGTAAATCTATACGACTTTATCATAAAAAATTCTATTAACTCAAACCAAATCCTTAGGAAACCAGTGAAATCCCAGGGCCAGGTCCCGACGTCCTCACAGGTCCAGAACACACTGTATATGAGGGACTGAACTACCCACAAAACTGCTGAGGATAAGAAAAATTATAGACGGCTCAAAGAGTCACTGACATCTCCTTTCAACGGAGGAATACATAGCTGGGAACAGCTGTACCTTGCATATGAGAGAGACTGTGGGAAATGATGGTAGTTACGAGTCCACACAGTTCCCTCCCTCAAGTCATTCCTGTCCTCATAATTTCCATCACAAACTTTCTAGGAAGAAAGAAAGCCCAAAAAGGTGTTATCAGTATAATTTCACTGAGCACATGAAAAATAAGTGCTTTTAATTGAAGAAAAAAAAAGCCCCAACCAATCCATGTTAATGTAGCTATTATTAGTACCAAAGCATCTGAAGTTTACCTGACAAATTTTGGGAGAACCGGTTCTACACAGCCAAATATAGTGCATATTAAGATTAGGGATGTTAAATTGCATTTAATCAACTTATTAACTAGTTGATGGCATTTCCATTGAGTAGTCAATTAGTTGATAAGGTGGGAAACTGCATTGTGGCTCTGCCTTTTAAATGTATTAAGAGCCTTAATACTTTTAAAAGGCTGAAGTGCAGCGGGAGGGACCGGGTGCAAGCGGGGACAGCTGATTCCCAGCTCACATCCCATCCACCAACTGCACTTCTGCTTTTTAATGTACGAAGCAGAGTTGTAGCAGAAGACTGGGCACAAGCTGGGAATCAGCTGATTCCCAGCTTGTGCCCAGTCTTCTGCTACAACTCTGCTTCTCCTGCCCCGTGTGGAAATGGTGCTGGGGTGGAACAGGCTTTTAAGCCAGCTCTCCCTAGTACTGGCTCCTGCTCCCCCACCTTGCTGCCTCTGATAGAGGGAGCAAGGGGGGGAGCAACTAGTTGAGTCACTATTCAGCTTATGCTTATCAGATAGTTGATTAGTCGCTTACATCCCTAATTAAGAGTCAAAATCAATGGGCAGGAATCCGTGTGATGGAAAGATTCTGTTGCACAGGTTTCTGTGATTAAAAACAAATTGGAAAGTGATCTGTGGGAATGATAAAAGATAGCCCCACTGAAATGCTTGTTGTGAATGATGTTTTCCATCTGGCTAAGGCTGTCAATGTGGTAACCCAAGCAATAGAGAATATTGTGCTGAGATCCCAGAGGGAAATGATAAACCCCAGAATTAGTTAAGGGAGAAAACAATCTGTTTCTATGTGTCTGATGGAGCGTGATGGGTTGCGGCGAGTCCCGCTTGCCAGCCGCATTGTCCGGCGATCTGCGCATACACAGATCATTCTGTGCACGTGCAGATCGCCTGAACCCGGCTCTTCCGGGTTGCAATCTACTCACCACGGGCGAGTAGATTGCATTATTTGTCAAGCCCTGCCCATGGGGTATAGGCTGGCAGCTGTGGGAACTGCAGTGCCCCCTAGCAATCCGCTTGGGTTGGCCTTTTTCACATTGCTTTATTGGAGATGTCAGAGCCTGGAGAGACTGGCTGTATCACCCAACACAACAGCAGGTGGTGTCACAACCAAACTGCTTTACCCCAGTGTTTACCTAAGTCAATGGTTCTCAAACCTTTTGACCCGTGGACCACCCTGCTCAATGCAAGCCTTTCTGTGGACCACCAGCCACCATCCATGATGACAAAATGCATTTGCTTATTTCTGACAGGCTGTGCCTCTGTGGTGCAGGACCTCTTGCTGGTCTCCCTGGGAATTAGCTTTTCAAGCTCTGGAGCACCTTCTGCTGGCCAGTGTCTCACCCTGAGTTACCTGTCTCCTGCACTGGTTCTGACCTTGTGTCCCTTCCTGCCCATAGTGCTCTTTCCTATTACTTTGAGGTCCTCCCCTCCTAGGGAACCCCAAATTTCCATACCCACCTTGCCTCAGTGACCCTCTGCCAGTCAGTTAGTCCCTGCCTCAGTGGTAAATTGCAGTCTGAAATAGCCACTCATCATTAGCAAGGGCTATGAACCTGCTGCGTTCTTCACCCTGTTGATCTCCCTGCAACCCCAGTGCCCCCCTCAGGCCTTGAGAGCAAGGCCTCAGCCTGGGAGTTTGCCTGGCCAGAGCTCCGCATGACAAAATTGACAATGACAATGTAAATACAGGCAGTCCCCAACTTACGTGGATCCGACTTACGTCGGATCCCTAGATACGAACCGAACGGGGTGAGGCAACTCCCGCACATGCGCAGCAGCATTCCCGGGGCTCGCTCACCTGGGTCTTAGGATCCTCCTCCTCCTCCTCGGGCCGGCTCCAACTGGGGTCCCGCAGAGCTGCCGGGCAGAGGAAAAGTGCCTCCCCCTGCAAGCAACAGGCTGCCCCCTCCCCTGAGCAACAGGCTTCAGAAGAGACAAAAGCAGCCTCTCTGTCCCTCCTCCCCTTTGGGGGATGGAATTGGAGAGGGGCTGATTGGCTATAAATAGATGTCTAGAGTGGGCTTTGAACAAATCTTGGTGTTAGTTATGAACACAGTGTCAAATTGCTTGGTTGTCAGTAATGTAATAATGTTTCTTTTTATTTCTACTGTAGTGGTTGGCTTTTAGCACCGTCACCAAGCTCTGTTTAGAAATGCCATAGAGGAACTTGATATTTTTGGTACCTGGCTTATAAATACTGTGTGCGCCTCACTTTCCCCTATGCATTTAAGTACAGGCAGTCCCCGACTTACGTGGATCCGACTTACGTCGGATCCCTAGATACGAACGGGGCGAGGCAACTCCCGCACATGCGCAGCAGCATTCCCGGGGCTCGCTCACCTGGGTCCTAGGATCCTCCTCCTCCTCGGGCCAGCTCCGACTGGGGTCCCGCAGAGCTGCCGGGCAGAGGAAAAGTGCCTCCCCCTGCCCGCTCCCGCCCCCCCCCCGCGGCCTCGCATCCTGCACGCCTTCCCCCTCCCCCCCTGCCAGCAACAGGCTGCCCCCTCCCCTGAGCAACAGGCTGGCGAACAGCAGACAAAAGCAGCCTCTCCGCCCCTCCTCCCCCTATACATGCTGGGCTCCCTGGGCAAACAAAGACTCCACCAAAACAAACAAAGTGCTGGCCTCATTGTGTTAGCAAAAAAAGGACCCTCCTCCTAGAACCCTGGGTGGTGTGTGGAAATAAAGCTATTAGCTCAAAGCATGGTGCAGAGCTGTTTGGTATTTGATGAGTTACTCTTTTAGTCCTGAGTTTGTCACAGGGACAGAAATAGATGTGAAATCTTCTGAACAGGGGAACAGACAGCAAAACAAACATTAGAGGGGAGTTAACCTTTCCCTATGCTATCCAAAACTAAAAAAAATGTTTGGCTAGAGTTTCCCCTACAATATGTACCAGTTCCGACTTACATACAAATTCAACTTAAGAACAAACCTACAGTCCCTATCTTGTACGTAACCCGGGGACTGCCTTTATTGTATTAACTGATACATATTTATTTTTTCCTGAATTTTATATTTTTTCATGTAATTATATTCTTTTCAATTAAGATGATTTGCTAAATATATAACTGAATGTGGTTTAACATTTTTATACTTTTGTAAGACTTTTCATATACATAAATTCACAAATTAAAAAAACATCCTTTTATAGATCATGTGTCCCCATGGTCAAATCCACTCGAGGTGGTCCTATGGGACCTGAATCCATCCTGATTAGCAGAAGGTGGAAGGAGGAGTTCTTAGGGTCACATGACCCACTTCCAGACTGATCACCCTATCCCAGAACTCCCTGATTGGTCAAATCTGCTCTTGGGGTGGGTCTATGGGGCCCAAATTCATCCCTATTGGTAGAATACAGTGGGAGTTCTTCAAGGGTCACATGATACCCTTTACTTCCAGTCATGTGTCCATCTTGGCTCTGGAAGTACAACCCCAGTGGTGGGACTTCCTGTGGCAGGCTGGGCCTAAGGGCTCAGGAGCATAGCTAATGGGGCCAAGGGTGTGGTTGACATTTGATTGATGGTAGGGCCTTTATATGATGTGTCCCCATTTTTGGTTTGGAAAATATGGTTACCATAATTATATCCCCAAGGCGGCAGCTTCATACTATTGCTTACATCATTTCTGTGACATTAAGGGTGAAGTGTTTCCCTGTAGATGGAGCGCTGAGGCATGACTCTTGGGCACACACTTTAAACAGCCAGATACTTGAGTTGTCACAGGAGCACATAGGTTGGCCATCAATATCAGGGAGGTTCTGAGTAACCATGACAGGGCCTGAGATTTCTGGGGTAGGGGGAATTGCTTTCCCATGTCTAAGCAAGGCATTCCCATGGTACCAAATGGTTCAGGCCAGAGTGGTTGGTGTGGGTTGTTTAGCACAAAATAAGAACTCATGGCAACATACATATTTGTCTTTGCAAACTTCACAGCTGTGTTAGGCTACGTCTACACTGGCCCCTTTTCCGGAAGGGGCATGTAAATTTCATGAGTCGTCGTAGGGAAATCCGCGGGGGATTTAAATATCCCCCGCGGCATTTAAATAAAAATGTCCGCCGCTTTTTTCCGGCTTTTAAAAAAGCCGGAAAAGAGCGTCTACACTGGCCCCGATCCTCCGGAAAAAGCGCCCTTTTCCGGAGGCTCTTATTCCTACTTTGAAGTAGGAATAAGAGCCTTTTAAATGCCGCGGGGGATATTTAAATCCCCCGCG